TTGAACAAAAGACCAGTGGTGAAAAGAAGAATCTTATGAATACAAGAATTCAATTAAAACCAAAAGCATATCAGAGGATTGGGGGGTGTCAGTAATGCTGCTGGTGCTAGTGTGCCTGATGTAATGACTAATACGTGGAGAGATTGGTTCCACTTTCCCCTTTCTCCTCCAAAGTGTTCAATTCCCTCATTGAAACTTCTCTAACACATGTCTAATTTTATGAAAATGTCAGTGCAAAAAAAAGTTCCTGAAAACATTCATATTATTTTCAGGAGTTTTAGGAAGTGAGTTTTACCTACATGCAAATATGTTTTTGCTGTTAAACAAAATATCAGCACACGTTAGTAAAAAGACAACAAATATTCCAAATATTCTTGACAAAATCACATGCCAGCCATTTATATAGTGGGGGAAATCTGTCAGCCAATTCGTAATGTTGACTATTTTGCTATAAATGTTGCCTATAGTTATAATATATAACAATAGTTATAATATATAAACAATATATAAACAATAGTTATAATATATCAAACAATATATTATATTGTCCTTATGTTAGCCTACAGAGTAGAATACAACTCTGGATTTCTATTGCTCACAGGAAATAGGTGAATTTTTGAGTTGAAAGGTATTTGATAAATTCGTTAAACAGATCTAAACACAGTTATAGCTTCCATACATGCTTGGGAACTTACTCTCAAAAAGTATTTCCCTCACAGGGTGTTTTTAAACCTCCAGTTTGTTTTCAAAGTGAAGCTTGTGTTAGGAAATATACTGATAATACCACATTTTCTTCTAGAAAAACGAGTCTTTCTAGAAAACATGAAAACTGTGATTATAGTTCTTGTCTATAAATAATTCAAGGTAATACTTCAAGCAAATCATTGAATAAAACTTCAGATGATTACATTAAAACAAGTAAAATTGCATTGTTTCAAATACAAAATTCTTTATTAAGGGCCATAGTGGTTAATGAGCAATGTTACAAAGGGAAAAAGTTTAATCAAGATGTAGCTTGATGTAAAACTCATTTAGTGAGCAATTGCTTCTGTTTCACTGCATACCAGCAGGCTATGCCTTAAGTCAGTTTCCAGGTGAGGCAAAGAAAATGCTGCTGATGTCAGTGTGTTGCTATAAACATAGACAAGATTAACCCATCAAAATTAACACAATTCAAGACTATAAGATGCATAAATTTTTTAATGGGGAATAAAATCCTTTTTTTTCTAAGCTCTTAAATTCTATTATCTATTTCAGGAAACATTTAAACTATTTTTTAGCCTGTCTCTCATTCATTTTGCAGTTAGCAGTCAAATGTATGAGAAACTTCTTAGAGTGGCCATTTTTTGAGAGATGCTAATCATATTATGAAATACTTCTTACTTTTAATTTTCATCCCTCTCCTTTTTTGCAAAGAAATAGTGTTTGGACCTATCATGTGCACAGCACCCTAGAAAGTATTGTGACCAAAATATGAACTAGCGATGTCAACTCTTTCCTCATGCATACATTGAGAAAATACCTGTATCTACTATTTTGCCTGGAAACATGCTTGGCACTGGAAGTACAGTGGTGGGGGAAAAAAAATCACACTATAATATAAAAATGGAATTGGGGCAAGCACTAAAAAAAAGCCATATACAGGAAAATGACAATATAAAAGATGTCAGGTATATGGCACAAAAGCAGAAATACAAAGTATGATAATGATTAACTAGGTGAAAACAGATGTGTTAGGAATGAGGAAGAATATTCCATGAAGAGAGGAAAATCATGTTCAAAGTGAAGATTTTCTGGGAGCACTGTAAATAATATAAGTAAAGGAAGGCTAATAGGCCCACAGCACAATGAACCACACCTCTCCGACATTTGTAAAACAAAATATGGAGTTTAAATTTAATTTTAAGAAAAGGGTGATACATTAAAATGCTTTTAGCAAAGGTGAATTCACTAGATTTGTGCTTTGAAAGGATAATCTGACTGCAAGATAATTCTGAAGAATTTATTAACAGGAGTAAAGTTTAAACAGAGACACAAAAAGTTAGGAAATGGTCACTTCTTTTAGGATACTGTTGCTGAATGTGGTTCTACTGCCCAGTGGCACTGAAAGCTAATAACCATGCCACTGATTTTTTAGAAAAGAATTTATTGCAAGGTTACCTGCAAGGAGATGGAAGCAAGGCTCAAATCAGTCTCCTCAAAGGTGGAACACTGAGCAGTACTTCTGGGTTGGGAACAAAGAAAGTCTAAAAAAAAAATGTAAGTTGGTAGAGTCTGATTGGCTGCTTTCTGCTGAATCATGATGTAAATCAAATTTGGGTTCAGGACTGCTACAAAATTGAGTACCTCTAACTTCTAAATGTCTACTTAACCATTAGCTGGGCACCTTTTTCCCCTTTTTTTCTAGAGCAATTTGTATTCTGCTCAGTTGAGAGGTCACCTCAGGGACAGCAAATAGCCTTTTGGGCCTGTGCTCTAAAATATTTGTCAGCTTATGAAAAATCTGTTTTTTATTTTTTCATTTAAGCTGGGTTTGGTTATTTTTGTTCCACACTTGTTATTGTACAATTTATGGTCAAGCCCTCCTGCTTGTGAGATAAGCAGAAACAGGAAAAAAAAAATACCTGAAATAGAAAAATGGCAAGATGGTTTCAACAGTAGCTGGCAAGCAAAAAGAAGCATTTTGGAGTCACTTGAGTCTGGTAACTAAAGCAGAGTAAGGACACTGGTGAGGGTGAGGTCCCAGGCACAGCCTGTTGTGCCTTCGTATACCCAGTCATGAACCAGGGAGAGAACAAGTTTTTGAATTAGAAAATATTGTTAATGTGAATTATTTAATGAAAGAGATGAAAAATATGTCTCCTCAATAAAATAAAACATTTGAAGAGAGAAAGAGAATACATGGAACAAATTCTACTGAAGGTAAAAGTGATGATGAGGGGGATAGGATGAGGATGCAATGCAATGAGGGAACTACTGCTACAAATTGAAGATTGACTTTGGACAAAATTTGCCACAAGACTTTCTTGGAGGGCATAGGAAGAGGGGTTGTATTCTGATTAGAAATGGTTTGAGGAACATGGAGAAATTTAAGGATATTCATATCACATTGTGAAGAAGGAAATGATGATGTTACTGCGAGTGAGGAAATAGCTGTATCTTAGGGAAACTGAAAAGGTATGATTTGTGTACCACGGATGGTTTTAAACAGCAAAATGCCTATTTTCTTAGACTCTGTTTGTGTGTGTATTGTGGGGGGAGCGAGTGGTTGCTCTGAGCTATATATGTGATCATATTTTACAAACTATATTTACATATAGGGCCTCCCTGGTGGCGCAGGTGGTTGAGTGCCGTACTGTGAAGCTGTCCACAGCCTCTGCAGCACGGGTTCGATCCCAGCCAGCCAGGGAGAAACCCACATGGCACAGCAGACCTCTCCTGTCTTGCCCACTGCTCCCCTCAGCAGTATATTTTGTCAGTCTGCCTGTTGTTTTCCCCATTCTGTCTATGGTGAATCCTCTCAACCTCCTGCACATTTGGCCTGTACCCCCGGTTCTTGTATAAATAAATAAATTTTTAAAAATTATAAAAAAATATATATTTACATATAGTTTATAGCAATATATCTATTTTATAATATAATTTATGTTGGGTCTTAAAACAGTAGCTAAGCATTGACTGCTATTCTTTTCTTGGCATAAATACTCAATTGAGTACTCTTTTATTTTAAACTCTTAATTATTTTTGAGAAAATTATATTACTTAGAAAAGACAAAGGCCTAAAGCAGCATATGCATCAGAAACTTTTTGAATCTCTTTTTTAAGTTAATTAAAATAATAGAAGTCACCATTTATTGAGCAATTAATATGTTCTAAGATCTGTCAGGATTTTATGCCTACTATCCAGTTTAATCCTTATATTTCTGGTTTTATTATTTTATCATTTTTATTTTGTAGAGGTTAAAATTGAATAAATCATTTGATAAAGATCCCTCCATTCTGAATGGGAGATCAAGGATTCTAACTGTGAGCTACTAGAATTCAAAAGCTTTGGCCCAAGTTATTCCCAAGTTTAACCTGATATGATTTATTTGGGTTTTTTTGCAAATCAAATCCCAGAATATAGTTTTTTCAACCTACCCTGCTAATCTCCCTATTTTCTGAATTTAGTCCAAGAGCAACTGAAATTTCTAGGGTTCAGTTTTAACAAACTTCATATATCCCCCATCTCACAACACACACTCAATAGTTAACACACAAATATGTACAAACAGGCATACACCTGATTCCTAAAAGCCTAATGGAGCATGTATTTTTTTAAATGAGGTTTGCATGAAGTAATGGAGAAGAGAGTTATTTGCCTTTCCCACTGCAGGACTTGTTAAAATCCTATATAAATGCCAGATTCCCCCCAGTGTTCCTTTCATACCCTGGCCATGGCAGTCATCTTTCTAGTTGTGATCTATTTTCCTGTATAGCACCTTGCTGCTAGCCTCTCTCTCTCTCTCCTCCCCTTAATGGCTAGTTATAGTTATGACAGCTCATGCCTTCTCCTTTTATAACCAGTGTTTTCTGGAAGGTTCTATAACTTTCCTTTTTTTTCTTATACCTGGTAATTTGCAGTCCGTATGCCAAACAGTCTAACTAATTTTCTTCATTAACTAATCTGCATTGGGGTAAAGAAATAATCTAATATTTATTTTCTTGTGATTGAAACTTTTAGACTACATATATATGTGCATATACACACAAATATATGCTAGTTATTAAACTTTATATGGGTTATTATAGAAATAACTATAAATATATATTTATATTGTAAGTTGTAATGCTGAATTTGTACTTGTGTATTAAGTACTAAATTGTGAATTATAAATTTCTAAAGAACACACAAAATACATTTTCTACTATTGTTCTGGAAAAGCATCAGTTAAGTAACTTGTGCTGCTTTTGTAAAATAAAATAAATGCTGAAGTTAAATGTGGCTCCTTCTGTTATAGGACAGGGAGAGGGGCAGCCCAAACCCCGCAAACCTGCCTATTCTAAATGGGTTCGGCCATCCGCCGCATCAACACAAAACACATGAGACTAATGGGAAGGATCTTTAATAAAACTAGGAAACAATACAGGTAAGGCAAAGAGTCTAGTTTCTAAATGAAGCACCCAAAGTTACCCGTCCCCTCGTGGGTAAAAGTCCATCCATATGGGATCGGCCCAGAGCAAGGCCCCAAAGCCTGCTACAAGTCTAAAGCATCTTCCAGTGGGGACCCACAGAAAAGGGTCACAAACAACCGGACAAGCCTGGAAGGAAAAGAGCAAAATCAACATCAAGATAAAAGCTGCCATTGTCACCTCCCCACGGGTCTCACCCACATCTGTGTCACCCAGTCCACGACCAAAAGACAAGCGCAGTTTCTTCACGTGTCTCTAGGCTCCATGCGCCTCCTCCAGGTCTCCTGGCTCCATCCTGCTTCCTTCCTCAGTCTCTTCTGCAGCTTCTTCTCTTCCTGCTCAGCTCCACCCTCCCTTGGGTGGGGCAGGGAACCTCCCCCTTTCCTGGGGACCACCCTGTTGCACTTCTAGATATTTGTGTCTATTAATTCTTTAGAGTAAGAAACATATTTTGTGAATTACTTTGTAGTTCCATATTCTTATTCACAATAATTTGTGCTACAGTGAAGATCTCTGTCTGTAATGCCTTTAAAAAGGCAAGTAAATATTTGCTCTAAGTAAATATGAAATATATCAAGTTTACTATATTTCATACATGTAGAAAGGACTAGAAAGAAATAGCCAAGGCTTAGCATATATTATTAACCTATTACTCACGTGGGAAACCTTAGAAGATCTCAAGGTTTAAAAATTATATGCTCAACAGATATCAATTGGTAATTAGCAGCACTTATTTCAGGAATTATACTGATAAAAATAAAAGAGCAAAAGTAAAATTTAACTGAGCATAAACCATTTAAAGAAGCTCTTAAATCTTTCTTGCTCTGCTTGAAACTGAAATGAAATAATGAAACAGCATTTTCAGGCTATTCTGAACAGAACCACAGAGCTAAATGTGCTAGAAAAAGTGGAGAATTTTCGCACAGATGGCCTGCCACAGAACTTGCCAAATTTGCCCAAAGCCCAGGAGCTCTGGGAAAGGCTTTTCTGCCAATGGGCAAATATAGTGCCTTTCAAATTTATATTGCCAAAACTGAAGTCTGGGGATGTCATATTGTGATACTGATGAAAATCATAAATAACAAAAACATTATATAGTTATGATAAAAACTATTTGTGATCCAAATCACTGGACTGAAAATTTCGACTTTATAGCGTTCTGCTTACAGTCACACTCACCCCCCTGCAATTTCTTCTCAGCAGTAAAGCCTAAGTGATCAGTTTAAAATGCAAATCACATCATGTCACTGCCCTACATAAAACTGCTCAATAGTTTCCCTTTGTTCTTGGGATAAACCCTCAAATACTTGACACAATGCAGTCCTGCTGGTATGACAGCCTGTCTTCATTCTGACTACAGACCTCACTGGTCTGTCGCTCTCTCTGACCCAGACATATTGACCTCATTGTGACCTATGGGCATTTGCCATTTCCTACTCAAGAAGTTCTTGGATACTCACCAACCCACTTCTGCCCCTTACCAAGTTAACTGGAGGTCATATAAAAAAAAAAAATTTTTTTTCAGGAGAGTCTTCTCTGGCCTATTCCTGCCCCTTCCCCCACAATCAGGTTGCTTTATTTATGCAATTTCATACAATCTATACTTTTCAATAAGTTTACAAAGTTTAGCAAAGGCATGAAGTTAATATGTGTTAATATTTGTAGAATGGTGCATGCCTGGAACTAAAATGTTTCAAACGTAAGTTGGAGTATAACATTAAGAAAGAATCATGGACATATTTACAAATATCTTTGTAGTAAAAATTTAGTGTCAAGAAAGTGAAAATGAATGTAGAAATTGTATTTACATAAAACATTTTATGCAAGATTTTAAAAGACAAATGAAACGCTAATTCACTACTTTATTGACATAGTGAAAAATGCAGTATCCTCGTGGTGGGGTAGGAGTATTCCAAAAAAAAAAAAAAGTTCCTAACTTGAATACTTTAAAAGTGAAAATTTTATGGCATAAGAATTATATCTCAATACAACTGTTGCTGAAAAGTGCAGTGTCCTAATAGTTTATGAGAGTAATAGTTTGCTCTCAGTATTTTTGATGCTGTTAAATGAAAAAAGAAAAAGCCAAAAATAAATCCTGATCGCTAAGACTTTATTCTAAAAGACTCTTCCAATCTGGGCAAAACTATGGCAATGGGGAGAACATCCCATTCATGAGAGTTGTATGTAACTCAGAGGTCAGGCAGAAAAGGCCTTTCTTTATAGGGAGGAAGAAGCAAGGCTGGAGATAACTGGGTGTTAGGAAATGGGATGAGTAGGTGGCATGACCAGAGGGAATTTGAAACAGGAAACAGCTTGCTTTGTGGTCACCTGATTCCCAGGGTTGCAGTTAAGAACGGGCTATGTGCGCTCGCACACCGGCTTCAGTGCAGGGACAAGGCTGGGAATAGAGAAACCCCACTGAAGTTTGACCAATTCAAATTATTGAGCAATTTATCCAGATTGGTCAGTGGGGCACAAAGTTCAGCTAATCATTTATGAGATGAGAGTGTGGGGATGTGGAGAGCACCTGTCTTGCCTTGCCCTCACTAAAGCAGCGAGCCTTAGCTGTCATGTGGGGGAGGGGGGCTCTTCACAATAAACTCTCTTCTGAGACACAAAAGGATGACAGTATTTCTTTTTTTTTTTAATTTTTATTTTATTTAATTTTTTTTTTTATAGAGGCATGTTTTGTTTGTTTGTTTGTTTGTTTTGTTTATACAAGCACTGGGTACAGTCAGAAGCGCGGGAGGGTGAGAGAATTCACCAGAGCCAGAGCAGGGAGCAGAGCAGGCAGAAGGACGGAAGTACACTGCTGAGGGGAGCAGCGGGCGGCAGGAGAGGTCTGCGCGCCATGTGGGACCCTCCTCCGGTGGCCGGGGAGCAGCCGGGCATCGAACCGGCGTTGCAGAGGCTGCAGGCAGCTTCGCAACCCAGCGCTCAACCGCTGCGCCACCGGGGAGGCCCGGATGACAGTATTTCTTAGTCATCACTTTTTCCTAGGAGGATGGGCCTCAGGTGAATTTAGCATTGTCAGCATTCTCTAATATGAATTCCTTAGAGAGGAAAATATCTTGGTTCTCAGAGAGGAAGGGGTTAGGAGGAATGGAGTAGGAGGGGTCAATTTGATAATGGTGAATAGCACTAGAACTATGGTGGTGGGTGAGTTTGCTATAACAGCAAAGGAATTCAAGTAGTAAGCAAATATATGTAGTCCTGCAAGCTAAATGTTAAGATTTTTAACCTTTATTTCCAGATCCCAAGGCCATCATGAAGGAGCTTGTGTTATGGAAACCAACTGGACAGAACTACCCTGAAGTTGTTGAGATAAATTGTTGTTTTGAGAAAACTGCCTGCCCGGATGCAAAGATGACTAGTTCCTGAAACCGCTTGCTGATTTGTTTACTTTTCCTAAATAACTCACATTCTTTCCCAACCTGAAACCTGTACCCTTGCTAATAAAATCCCAAAGGCTTCCTTCTTTGAGGAGGTGGATTTGAGCTTGGCTTCTATCCTCAGTTGGCATCATTTCTAAACTAAAAAACATTTCTGCTTCAAACACCTCTTGGTGTTTGATCCTAGTGTTTGGTCCTTCTGGACACCAGGCTCACTAACCACCATGACATTGGTAGCAAGGTGAGGTGTATGCACATACTGAGGTGTGAAACTATACTTTGAAAAACTGTATAGTGTGTAAAGCAACTGTAAATGAATAAAAGTTTGACTTAAAAAGAATTCCTCAGAGAGGAATGTGTTTTTGTTACACCCCTGAATCAGATGGTCAGTGCAGAATGGAACAGACCAAGCTCATCTTAAATCTGTGACCACGCTACACCCTGTTTATAATTAGCTTTGGATATCTGTAACAGATGTTAGACCGAGGAGGAGGTTCAGGTTTGTAGCACAAGAATTCTCTATGTTTGAAATATTGTCACTCTATTGTAAAATATCAAAGTTCACAAATTTCTTATTGCTCTGGGAATCATTTCTGTAGGCATCCTGATAGAGAGGGTTAGAACATAGTTTTGGCAATAATTGTAAGCAGTATTAAATATTTTATGAGAGATACATTAGTGTAAATCACCATTTTAAAAAGTGAAACATGAATCACTACCCAAAGAATTGAACTTCAGTGCAAGAAATCCTGATTTATCTGCACTGTTGATACTATATATGTAAATGCCATTTCTCAGAAGCATAAAACTCTGAGTATAATATATTGGGTAGTGTAAGCAGTATAATATATATTTTTCAGTCTGTGCTAGTTTCATTAATCATATATTTAAAAAATTTTAAGCTTATTTTTTATGAGGCGTTGCATTACATGTGGCATTGATATGCATGTGTAATTTATTACTTGGCAAGTGAATTATCCTGCACTATTTTATGTGTTTGATATATTGATTTTCAGTTGTGATAGATCATTTTAAGATTGCACGGCTTTACTCATGGTGATTTATCCACCGAATCACATAGACTGTGGGACAAGCTGATGCAACCCTTTGAACACTTGCTATCAGCTATAAATAGAGTTGTTAACTGGAATTCTTAACCCCAGTAGGGAAACATATTTAGTAAGTGGAGAGAAATAACTTTCATGTAAGATCTAATTAGTTGTTGAATAACTGCCCATAAAAAGTAATTTCAATATGTCTTTTTCTTCCATGTGCTAATCTTGTAACCCATTTTTTTTATCAATAGGCAATAAAATATATGAATAGAAAGATGCCCTTATGCCTAAAAGGTCCGTCTTTGGTGATTGCCAATTGTTTTTTAATCCTTAGCAACTCAGACACACATATTTGCTTTGACATGAATTATCACTATCCTCTTCATTTGAAGAAAACGTTCCTTGAACAGAGTTCTTTGGAGTAAAAAGCAATCATGCAGTGCCCAAACTTCAACCACTTTATGGCTACTGGTAAAGATACTCCATAGAAGAACCACGTATAAGAAAGGCAGTATCTCCGGAATACTTCCTAGAATGTCTAGTAAAAAATATCAAGCAACCCTGCAAAAATACTCCACCCTGTTACTAATTCCAAGGTACTTAAATCACAGAAGGACTTGAAGGAATCGATGCTGAGAGGACCATTTGACACAATATATCCTCAGGGGTTTCCTCTTTATTTTAGTTCCCACCAAAATCCCTCCATCTTTTGCCATTTTTGCCTTTTTCCTCTCCTACTCTATGCTGCTATCATTACGCTGTTATTATTTATACCTATTGTCCCTCACTTTGATTTCTTAGCGTGTGGGAGGTCTTGTTCCTAATTTCCATGAAATCTCTGCTTAGATGTTATTTAACTAATGTGTCTCCTACGTAAGACGGGTTTTTGGCAAATACGAAGTACTTGATATATGTTATTGAATAAATTAAGGAAAGAGTGAATGAGTGAGTGAAAATGTATTTGAAACTTCACTGCAACATAAGGCTCACTAAATGGGCTGCAGGATCCAACCTGTTTGGCTGGTTGTAGATAAGTTGCCTAACTTCAGTGTTCTCACCTGAAAATTCAAGTAAAGACAGCATCTCCAGGAGGTTTTTTGTGAGGATTACATTGTAAAGTACTTATGACACTCACCTACCTAGCAGATGGTATACCTACAATAAATATTAGCTGCTTATTATTATTGTTATTCTTATTTATCACTTAATGAGCTTCCCTTGAGCCTCTTCATGCATTTATATTTTTAACAAGTACGTTGGTTGTCCTGAAAATAAGAGCTATAAATAATGATGGTGTGATTCTAATTTATTTACTTAGGATAACGTGCTCTGAAAGTTAACTATAAGATTCCAATTTTAATTCAATACCTTTGAAATAATTTCAACACATTCAAAAGTGAGAAAAACTGATTTTTATGAGTTATAACTGAAGTTGTAAAAAGAGGATATGACTGTCATGTAATAAATATATAATTTCATGATTACAAAAAGAAATTATACACAACCAACTCAAATCTACCTATTCAGAATTACATTAAAAACAAAGCACATTTTTTATAACATTTAGGGCAACCAACTGTTATTACAGCAACTTCCACTAGATGTCATGCAGTTCTTACTCTGTTTTCTCACAGAAGGTCTAAGTTCTGTTAAATAATCCTATGTACCTGAGATTTTAAATTGCAGGCAAGTCTTGCAGGACATAGGTAATAAGATATGACTGCATTTATCTGCAGTCTCTGGTTTGGTTCTGTTCCTCTTCTCTCGATTCCTTGATTCTGTCTTAGATCGCCAACCTCCTTTCTTCTTTCACAAGTACTTGCATTCTTGCTAATTTTTTATATAGAATCACTTAATTTATTTAGATTTACTATCTCTTTCGCTATCAGGTTTTTGACAAGTTCAAACTGCGCTTAAGGAATTTCTATCAAGATATATTTTTTAAAGATTTGTTTATTTATGCATACAAGAACTGGGGTATAAGCCAGAGGTACAGGAGGTGAGAGGAGTCACCAAAGAGAGTGGGAAGCAGAATAGGCAGATATACTGAAACACAGTGCTAAGGGGAATGGTGGGTGAGGCAGGAGAGGTCTGCTGCGCCATGTGGGTTGCTCCCTGGCTGGCTGGGGATCAAACTTGTGCTGTAGTGGCTGTCGATAGCTTGATAAAGCTGTCTTTAACCCCTGCACTACCAGGGAGGCCCTCTATCAAGATACTGATGCCAGTTGTAAAAATTACATTTTATTTACTAACAACTAACTTTCATATGTGTCTGGGTTGTGATCCTCAAGCCCTTCTGTGGATAATAATTTCACTTTCTACAATATCCAAGACTACAAAATGAATCTTTTATTAGAAGAGTAATTAGTGGATTTAGGAAAAGTTTAGCCTAAATTTTTGTACATAGAAACATAATATCAATGGAACCAACTTTTTAAAATTGAAATAACACTTTGGTTAATAACATTATTTAGGTTTCAGTGTACAACACTGTAAATCAATATCTGTAGATACTACATTGTACTTACCACCAAAACACTGGTTTTCAGCCTTCACCATATAATTGATTCCTTTTACCCCATTATCCATCATTTTTCCAGATATATATGTGTGTGTGTGTGTGTAAAGTAATATAATATAATAATATAATTATTATATATAATAATTCATTATAAATACAATGAATGTAAGATATGAAATCCATTACATATATAAATCCCTAATCTACCAACATCAGGCTGGTTTGCATCTGAATTTTTCACATTAAAATTCATATATATTTTATATAAATATAAAAGTCATCTGTATTGATTGATATCCTTGAAGAGAGATATCTAGATCTTATGTGGAAAGTTTATATGTCTTCATGTAATCTATCATCAATCTATCATCTATATATCTTTGGATATATTGTTGGATATAGACTTAGTTATATAAACAGTTCTGATGAGATTGATCAGATCTGCCATTACTTTTCTATCACAGAAGGGATTATATTTAATGGTATTGATGCTGTCATATATTGTTTTGAGACAGAAAAATGCTATCTGATGGTTCACCATTAAAATAATGGAAACAGTAATAGTATAGTAGTTATTGTACAAAAGCTTCAGATTAATGATTTTCATTGGAAATACTAACTAAAATTTTGAAAACTTGAACAACATCTTGAATTTATTTTTAGCCTAATAACTTTTAGGTCTATGTGTTTTGTTTCTCTTCTGCATTCAATACTGATAAAGTGTTTTCAGTATTATTTTGGTCAATTAATTTGTCTGTGGATCATTTCAGATGACTTTCATCTATGCATAAAATTTCTAATTCTATAGCTATTCATTTAAAAAGTGTGCATATATGCATGTGTATATTAGTAAAAACTAAAGCTATATGGGTATGGGTAAAGCTCCCCATGTGAAGACTTTAAATACTAGCCTAAAATCATAAATATGTTCAAAATTTTTCTCAATACTTGTTCATTTACAGAATGAGTAGTTGCTCAATTCAGGAACATCAACAATAGACTCCTGGGTGGATGTGTACTTTATATTTATAGAGGAGAAAATGATTGACAGGTTGCAAGTCACTAGGGGCTAAACATGCTCAGCCATTTGAGATGGAATAATTACTGGACATTTTAGGTTCCACTCAGAATTGTACCACAACCATGTTAAGTCAGTTTTAAATTTTGATCATGTATGAATGTAAGAAACCTGATCTGGCCAAAACTGATGACTATGTCAGACTTGTTTTTTAACTAATAACTTTGATATCTAAAAATAGGAGCAGGTCCTCCCTGGTGGTGCAAGGGGTTGAGCAACACACTGTGAAGAAATCTGCAGCCTCTGCAGCACGAGTTCGATCCCCATCCGGCCAGGGAGCAACCCACATGGCGCAACCCACAAGGTGCAGCAGACCTCTCCTGACTCGCCCGTGGCTCCTCTCAGCAGTATATTTCTGTCAGTCTGCCTGTTTTGTTCCCCACTCTGTCTCTGGTGAATCCTGTTACAGGGCAGGGAGAGGGCCACCCCAGAGCCTGCAAACCTGCCTCTTCTAAATAGTTTCTGCCATCCTCCGCATCAACACAAAACATGTTAGACTTTAATGGGAAGGAACTTTAATACAATTAGGAAACAATACAGGAAAGGCAAAGAATATAGTTTCTAAATCAAGTACCCAAAATTACCTGTCCCCTCGTGGGTAAAAGTCCACCCAAGCAGAATTGGCCCAGAGCAAGGCCCCAAAGCCT